GGATAGATTTCTCTCTGGGTTCGTACTCTGAAGTATCCATGGACGTTTTGTTTCTGTCTCTTGGTCGTTGTTTATTTTAAGGATTTTATCTCTCTTTCATTGTTAAACTCAAAGAAGAATAAAAACTGTTGGGTTGGCTTCCACCAATCAGATCTTGGATATTGAATACTAAATAGAAAGCAGGATTGCCGTTACTCTTTTGGCTTTCCCGCTTTTGAATTTCTGCAGAGAAACAGCACCCAACACCTGGGAGGATGCGCTGAAAGATGAGTTAAACCATAGGAATTATCCACCGATGCCTTGGCATGATGTACATTGTGCATTATCTGTGACGTGGCTAGGCACTTTGTTCAACGCTGCAAAGGTTTATCCATTCCTGGCGAACTTTTCCTCATCTGTTTGGTTTTTGTTTTTTGTGATCCGGATGGTTCTAGAATGTGTCACGTTATCTGGCCTAAACAAAAGGTGGGAGGGATTAATCCCCTTCTGGACCTGGAAAAACTCATATTTAATATTAGTAATTTAGTTCCTGCAAAAATCCACCTTGCCAATTATTCATATTTAATTCCTGAAACCGAGTAGTTGCCTTCACATGTCCTCTTTTTCTATGACTTGTGTTTTTCATACCAGATCTTTCTGGACATGACACAATAATGAACCGTGCACAAGAGAGGATTTAGCATGCCTATAACGAGAAGAAAAGTTTCATGGTTGTTGTTATACCTCTTCTCTCAGGTATCCAGGTTAGTTTTGTTTACAAAACACCTTGCCACTGAGATGTAGCTGACCTGTGTGTCTGGCAAGGGGGTATCGGTGCAGAGTCTTGTATGTGGTTCAGTACTGCCTATGCATAATGGTTCTAATAGATGCTAGTACATAGGACATAATTCAACAGTGGTTACAATACTATTGGTTGGTCCAAATGCCCATGATTATGTTTCCTTATACAGAATGCCCATGATTATGTTTCCTTCTACAGCGTGGTTCTAATGCAATAAATCATACATATGGTAATGAAGTTTACATGGAAAAAATTACAAAATGTTCAAGTTTGATTTTTTTTAAGGGGGGTGATCATCTTGTGACTCACAAGAATGTGTTGGTCTCCCAATGTTTTTATGACATTACAACAAACGATGTGAGAAACCAAAAAGAATCAAGACCTCATACATGACCTCTTTGCCAAAGTTTGACTTGAGGAATTCCTCCACGCACACGTCAATAAGCCTGTGTCCAACAAATCAAGAATGTTCCATGAGACATTATACGACAAAAGTTGCAGCATTTTATCAGAAAACAACAAAAAGAACTGAAAAAGAGTCACCACATCGCACACACCTCAGCAAGGCCACTGGTGACTAGCAACTCCTGCCTTCTCAAAAGGGAATCTTTTTTACCACCTGCAACTGCGACATTTTCTTCAAGATCTATCTCTTCTTGTTCATCTTTCGCCTCCTCACCAGATTCGTTACTATCTGAGTCTTTTGTTTGAGAGGATGACTGTGACTTATCCTGAAAATGAATGGTAGATATGGGCAGGTTTTACATCCAGTTTAATTTCATAAGAACGAAAAATGCCAGCATTATAATTAGGTAAACAGTTGGGAAAGTGATGGAATATCAAGAGAGGCCAAATCATCATGACTGAAGTAACGTGAAAAACTTGGATGCAGTAGCTCCACTAGAGGTCTCCTTCCATTCTGCAGACACAATTTTGAAGCCATACATTAAGAGAGAAAATAAATACAGGAAGAATTCAACATATCCGTCATGGGGTTGACAAGAGGTAAGATCTCATCAGACTCAAGAAATGAGACTGAAGTATCTTTTTGTAGACTGAAGAAGAAAGTAAATGCAAAACAATTTTATAAGCCGAAACGTTCACATAAACTAAAATACCTTATCAGCTATTGTCAGGTACACAATCAGCAATTTGTGTGTGATAGTGTGGTCGACAATCCCCTTCTCAAGAATCGGTTGGACAATGGAAGTCATGCGTCGCATTACACCGCTTTTCTGTAGTCGTAGCTTCGCGATGATGTCTACCACCCTGAAATCCATTAACTCTTGATATGTGAGCAGTTCGAAGCAGTACAGATTAATATCGAGGTTGTAATCACCATCGCAAATAACAACCATGGAAGCTAAGAAATTCCTAGTTCTCGTGTTATCAAGCCAAAATAAAGTACATGAGACTTGGTTTCTCTATTTCTTGTGTCCTAGAGTAAGACAAAGAAGATAAACCATAATTTTACCTTGTTTCAGTAGTTGTGGTCATGCCCTTGAATAATTGAAGTTCCTTGGAATACAATTCTCCAAGGAGTTCTCGTTTTAGTGCTGCAGTTCCTAGATGGTATGCATGCTCCACAACTTGGAGCCACGTAAAAAAGAAGAAAGAGAAAGTGAGCTTCAAAACAGACAACAGATTCTCTGCGGCATCTTCATAGGACTAATTTGTGTAAGCGAGTCGTCCAAAATTATATCTTCATCAGCACTCCACATACCAACAGATCCGACCAAGTGACGGATAAAAATTACAATAACACCACCTCAATTTCCAAATAAACACAAAAGCGACCTCTAGTTTGTCATTTAATTTAATACCTCCTCCCCCCCCCCTCCCTTTAGAATAAATTTTCGAAAATTGGAAAGCATTCTATAATTTACATGTTAAAAAAAAATCCCAAAACTTTGCACTAAAAGACAA